GTAGTTAAGTATATGATGAAGAGAGGAGCGAATTGTAAAAGCTTGATCGATAACTCTCTAATGTCGATCGATAAATGATCTATGTAATGCATGTATCTATATATACATATATGTATAGCTATATATATATATATGTATATTGTTTTAGTGTTGTAAGTGTTAAAAGCGTTGATTGTGATTGAAAGACGAAAAAGAAGAAGAAGAAGAAGAAGAAGAAGAAGAAACAGAAAAAGAATTAGAAACAGCGTCAAACGGAACAGAGTATGAGAACAGAGAAACGAATAACAACTGAACAGAAATAGAACAGATTACATATAACAGATTTAGTATAACAGTTCGTGCACATGCATGTAGAACAGAATAGCGGCAAGCGCATAAGTAAGCAGGAATAAGCAGAAGAAGAAGCAAGGCAACACACACACACACACACAGACTACATTTGTTAATTGAAAGAGCAGAGTATACATATACATACACATGCATATATATAGATGCCTTGTCTTGAAAGAGAAAAAATGAAAAACAATACACACACAAACACAAACACACACACACACATACACACATTTATAGACATAATAAATATTGATAACGAAACGAAAATAGTTTAAGATGATTATGTGCAACAACAACAACAACAACAACAACAACAACCATATTTCTTGTTAAGCTTTCAAATTGTAAAAAAAAACCCAATTTTTAAATTTTGTCTAAAAAGCAAAAACTTTGCTAAATTTTTGTCAATGTGTTTAAAACTGTTATACACCCATACACACACACACACACATGTGCGTGCGTGTGTCTCTTAACTCTCATTTGTAACTGTATTCCCCCACACACACACTCTCTCTCTCTCGCTTTCTCTCTCACTCACTCTCCCCTCTCTATCGCATCTATTTTGATTGAATAATGTATTTCGCTTTAACTTTAACGGACGTACGAATATAACTTATCAAATTTATTGTGTTACATTTTAAATGATAATCAGCTTAGGCACTAATATTATTATTATTATTATTACTATTACTATTATTACTATTACTATTATTACTATTATTATTATTATTATTATTATTATTATTATAATTATTAAAAAATTATTATAAATATACAACTTTTTTTGTCGTAATTGTAAACTTTAAGCTCTATTAATAGCGCATGTTGTTGTTGTGCGAGTGTGTATGTGTATGTGTGTGCTATTTTTTTTTTTTTTTTGTTATTGATGAAAGAGAAGAAGCAGAAAAATGAAAAAAAAAAAACGAAATGTAAGCCAAGTTAATATATGCAATATTTAAGCACTGTACCTTAGGTATAACACACACACACACACACGAACACACACACACATACACAGATGTTTTAAGCCTAAATTTGATATATATACACGTATATATATATATATATATATTATTTGAATGCTTTTTTTGTAAGCGCTTTAATTGTTATTGATTTTGCATAATGTGAAAAAAAAACAACAACAACAAAAACACAAATTATATTTGTATTTATACACAAAAAATAAAAAATAAAACATTTTATATGAGATAATTTAAAAAAAAAGAAGAAGTCGAAAAACATTTTATTTGATTTGATATTATTTGGATTTTTATTTATTTGTTTAGTTTAGTTTATATTTAATAAATGTTTGTGTTACTCTTACTTTAGCACAATTTGCTTGCATGCGCTGTTGCCAAATTGCACACTGAAAATGCGCCGCTGTCAGAAAACTTTGCAGGCGACGAATTAATCTACGAAAGTGAAAATGATAAACGAAAAATGCAAAATGATAAATGAAGAACGCAAAACCAAAGCACAAATAAATATAAAAACCTTATCAAACTGAAATACAAAGAACACCAAGAATTGCAATCACGTCTGGCCTTAAAACGAGAAATCAACCAAATCCGGCAACTGCAGCAAATCGATACGAAAACAAAACCGAGAAGCATATAAACAATAAAACACCAAGTATAGTTACATTTTAATAACAAAACAAATTACGAAGCAAAACAACGGCAAACGCAACGATGAAACAATAAGCACGAACGTGTTCAGCAACTACAAATAGAGCCTACTTTTTTACACTTAGTTACCGAAACTCCTAAAAATAACCAACAGGACATACACACACACACACACACACACACTCACACTCACATACATATACAGCTGCGATAATAGTAGTAGCAGTACTGTTGGACGGAAAGAAATTTAGTGATAAAACAATTCGAAGCGAATTTTAGGATTAATGAGATTCTACAATATATTGTTATTAATTGAAATGATCGATATGGAGTCGCTGTCATTAATATTTCAATGACCAACATTCGCTCTACTATTTATATGACCGCAGCTGTATATATACACACATACATACATTTGATAAAATCCTATTGATTTTGAGGATGTCATTTTGGTTATTGTATTATGTCTCCCAATCCCAACTCCAAATGTTTCCAAGAAGCAATTCTCACCGCAATTGCATATGTTATTACCAACACATACATATATATATACCAGATATATATATATATGTATGCAGCTACATATTGATATACATATATACACTCATAGCTAGCTCTTATCGAATAATTGTAATGCCGAAGCCTGGCTTCGGCACTCGCGTTTTGTTAATATACATACTAGAGTTGTACTAGCCTTAGAATGGAACTAGCGCACTAACTAACTAACACACACACATACATATGTACATATATACATATGAGTGTATGCATGTATGTATGTATGTGTGTGTGTATTTATTCAATATTTAATGCATGTGGTTTATGGGGCGATCGAGCCGCCTTTATTAAATACATTTCTATAGCTGCAATTGGAGTCATGGAGATCCAATTGGAAAATGGAATCGGACTCGAATTGGTTAACCGGCCAACTGGATTGAGTGAAAGCCGTCAAAGTAACTAAACAAGCAAACACCAAATATGTACTCGATGGATGAAAGTAAATCAAAAAAAAAAAAAAAAAAAAAAAAGAATTCAACAACAATAGCAAAAGCGAATCTAAATATACATCGATTTAAATTTAAAAAAAAAAACATACAACACCAAATGAAAAAGGTCTAAATATACATACATATATATATATATATATATATAAATTGTTTAACATACAGAATTTAACTTACAACAAAACCAAGCTGCAATAACAACAACAACAAATGAACTAAATAGCTAACTACAATAGATACTGCAAAAAGCAACACCAAGTAGAAAATCGCTTTATAATAATCTATTTAAAACTAGAAGTTTACAAATGAAATTTAAAAAATAAAAGAAGAAAAAAACTTAAGAAGATATAAAAAACTATAGAGTTGGCAAAACAAGTAAATACAAGTGTTATATGACCTCTTAGAGCCTTTTAGTGAACGCGATTATTAAACTATATACATAAATATATATATATATATATATATATATATATTCATACATACATATATAGTATATATATATATTGTCGGGCATGCTCTCGATTTGCCAAGTCTGTGCACATTTCAGGCAATTTACAAAGCGCACACGAGGAAACTCTACGAATGCCCTGGAAATGTGTGCTATCGAGAGCATCGGCCAACCAATCGATATTTATCGTTATGCGTACAGTCATACGTGTGCCAGCGAGGCGCATCGCATCTCGTTTGGCATCGCAATGCGCTCTTTTATTCTTGATATATCTCTTAGATAAGCCAAAGAACATAAATCAAATAATCGAATTACCGAATTGTGAAGTTATCGATCGATTTACATACCTTAAGTGAACTAGAAAGCAAAAAACAAAACGCACACGAAAATATATACATATATACATACAAAGGTATATATATATATACATATATACAGAGGTAAATTCAATTCTAAACTCTAATTAATAATCAAAGTACTTTTGCAATGAGCTCTTATCGAAAGCGAAACAAAAGAGATATACATACATGAGATATATATATATAAATATATATGTTATATATATATGTCACATATATACATACATATATTTATAAAATGAATATTTAACTTTTGTATAACTAACGAAAATATTGTTCAAATTGATCGATATCTACATATAACAAAGAAAACAAAACCAAGCGACGAAGGAACGAAGAGGAAGTGTAGACAAGAGAAGACGAAACGAAGCCCACAAAACAAAACAAAACAAAACGCAAACGACAAAATGAGAAATTCTATTTTACTTGAATTATTGTAGCCTTAAAGCGAAAGAAACTTATATTATAAACCAAATTAAATAGCAACACAAATTATATTCGTTGTAAATGTTAATGAAACTACATATGTGTTAAAGAACTTGCAAATTGCAAATGAAACAATTCTCAACAATAACAAAACGAAGCCACAAAACCATTATGAGCATAGCTATAAAAATGAAAAGATATATACATATAGATTAATATAAATATATATATATATATATATATATATGAAAAACCAAATGATAATAATTCCAAATATTACAAATTTATGTGTCCACATATTTGAAATGAAAAGAAAGAAGAAAAAGGAAGAAAGAAGATATACATACACGTACATAAATGAATAAATTCATGAATATATTATTGAATAAACAATATTACATACAATAAATAAAATGTTATTAACTGATTCAACTCTCTAACAAAACATATCTCTTATTTATAACGGTAAAGTTCATATGCACTGCTTGCCTTAGCAGGAATATGTTAACTTAACACTTTCCCAACAGACGCATTTGCAATTGGCTTTGCAGTTGGCTAGGGCAAGGTCTCATTTACTTGCCGTCTGCCTAAAACCAGATTAGATACTAGAAGCCACACAAATCTAACCATATACATATATGTACATATATGTAGGTATATACTCTCAAGCAATATCAATTAATAGCGCTTCATACAGTCTGCGTAGAGTTTAACAGCATTGGCGGCTAGTTTACAGCCCTGTTAAATCGTTGTATATTGAACTCTAATCTAAATCCAATTGACTTTGCATGCAAGCGATCGTTCATACATACATATATTCTGATTAGCAGCAAGCCGCAGCTGATTGTGTTCGTTGGTTCCAATTAGAATTGCGATTGCAATTGCAGTCAATCAAATTGGTTTCATCAATTCCAGCGCACAGATGCCGCTTTCGACTTTGCTGCTCGGCCTGTTTGTCTGCCTGTGCCTTGGGCTGTGGCACCTGCGTCAGCGCCTGCAACTGGGCTGTAGCCTGCCTGGACCCTGGGCCTTGCCCGGCTTGGGCAACGCCCAGATGATTGGCAAACTGAAGCCAGAGTGTGAGTCGGGCGCAGCGCCTGATCGAATTGGAGTCCACTTAAAAGCTTCTTGTCGCCGCAGTTATCTTTCTGGTGTTTACAGAGCTGCGCGAACGCTTTGGCGCCACCTATCGCCTGTGGTTAGGACCTCAGCTGTGGGTGTTTCTGCACAGCGCCGAGGAGACGCGCCAGGCACTGCACGATCCAACGCTGCGCAAAGCGGACACCTTTCAGCAGCTCTCGCCCCTCATTGGCAATGGTCTGCTGATCAGCCATGGCAGCGAGTGGCTGGCACAGCGCCGCCTGCTAACGCCCGCCTTTCAGCCGCAGCTGCTGCGCCGCTTTGCGCCTGCGTTGTCCAAACATGCGGAGCGCCTGCTCTACCGTCTGCAGCGAACAGGCGGAAATGCCATCGAGGTAACGGATTACCTTTTCGCCTGTCTTCTGGATTGCATTGTGGGTAAGTGTGGTATAATTAGTGACATAGCCATAGACATAATGAAATAGAAATTAGGACATTCTAGAGCTGGACAGATTTATTGATTCATGAGCTATCGATTGCCGCACTCATTTCCAAAATATCGATATGTAACGCAGCACCACAATCGTTTTAATAACTCTATTAACTCGAACGTCTGATAAATAAATTAATGGATAACTCTAACCGTAGACAACTCAATGGGCTTTGCGCTGGACACGCAGCTGGTCGAGCACTCGCCCATTGTGAGCGCCTTTCATCGGAGCAGTGAGCTGCTGTTCAAGCGCATGATTAATCCTCTGCTGACCTCCGATTTTGTGTTCAAGCGTACGCGACTGTGGCGCGAGCTGCGCGTTCAGCTGCAAGTGATTCACTTGCACATGGATCGAATTATCGAGCAACGCGAGAAGCAGCTAGAGGCAGAGCAGCAGCAGCCAGAGCAGGAGAAACGACCACGCATACTCTTGGATGCTATGCTGCTGGCGGGGCTAAGCCGTCAGCAGATTCGCGACGAAGTGAACACATTTGTCTTCGCTGTGAGTTGTCACTGCCACCTCCCCTCTCTCTCTCTCTCTTTCTCTCTCTCTCACTATCTCTATCTCGATCTTCGACAGGGTGTAGACACTACCACGGCGGCCATGGGTTTCGTGCTCTATGCCCTGGCCAAGCAGCCATCGGTGCAGGAGCGCTTGTACACCGAGCTCTCTCAGCTGCCACCAGATGGCGCCACGAGCCTGGATGCTCTCAATGAGCTTGACTATCTGGATGCCGTGCTGCAGGAGACTCTGCGCATGTACACCATAGTGCCCAGCACGGGCCGACAGACGACCAGAGCCACAACGATTGGCGGGCGTCGCTACTGCGCCGGCGTCACGCTCTGGATCAATATGTACGGCCTGGCGCACGACGCCAGCCACTTCACTGAGCCATACGAGTTTCGGCCAGAGCGCTGGCTGCAGGCGCAGCAGCCCACACCCTTTAGCTATATACCCTATTCGGCTGGCCCACACGTGTGCATTGGCCGCCGCTACTCGATGCTGCTGATGAAGCTGCTCACCGTTCGCATTGTGGAGCATTTTCGCCTGGAGCTGAAGCGACCACTGGAGCCGCTTGTGCTGCAGGCCCAAATGGTGTTGCGCTCTCGCGATGGCATCCACATTAGGTTTGTGCCGCGTGGAGCTGTATGAAATCATAACGACTAATACATACCCTGCACTTGTCAGCTTTCGATTGCAATTTAAGAATTTTTAGAAAGAATTTTTAAGAAATTTTTAAACAAATTTATTTTCTATATATCTACAGGATTTTGTGAATGGTATTTTACAATAATTTATGAGTTTAGGCTAATACATAGGCCTTCACAAATTTATTTTAAATATGACTTTTATTTTAAAATATTTGTTGTTTTTTTTTTTATAGATTTTTCATATATTATTGTTAATATTATTTTTTAATATCTATTAAATTAAAAAAAAAAAAAAAAATTGTATACATTATTTGTATTATTTTGTAAATTCATATATATTTTAAATACTAAATATTTTTAATAAATAAATATTTTAATTTTTGTACATAATTTTTTTTAATATTTAATATAGTTTTTTACTTTTTATTTGTATGTACATTTTATATCTGTTATATTTAGAAATATAAAAAATAAATATATATATATTTTTTTTAAATCTGTATATAATTAATTTTTTTTTTTGTTTTTTATATATATTTGAATATATATATATAAATATATAAACAAATATATATACATTTTTTTTTTTTTTTTCTCTTTTGGTTACATGCTATCAATGTTTTAAGACGGATGTCTATCAATTCTGTTATAATTCCATAATATATGTTCATATACAAAACAAAATAATTTTTCAGTCCTCAATCGATTAGAATGGGAATATATGTACATAAATAGACATATACACAAATACACATATATAATATATACATCGGTGATACTTCATTTTGTAGTTGAGTTTTGTTCAGATTTGTCGTTTACATTTGCTCTCGTTTGTACATTGTGACATTTATATTTTGCACTCTAGCATTTGTCATGTCGTGGATGAAGCGTTCCGCCGCCGCTGGCCAGGTCACGCAGCGAAACTTTCTGCGGGAGAACAAGCTGCTAGTGGGCCAGACGCCCCTGATGACGCTGCGCCGCCTCGAGCGGGAGAAGTTAAGGCATCTCGAGCACGAGAGAGAATCGCATCGCTGGCCGCTGGCCAGCTATGAGTTGCCGACAGTCGCCTCGCTGGCGCATCGGTCCGGCACGCTGCCCTTGATGGAGACGCAGCGACGCCTATTCAACGGCGGGCGCGGGCAGGGGCGTGCGTTTGGCAGAGTCGGACAGCGTTCGGAGAAGGAAATACAAACGGAAGACATTAGCGACGAGCAGTTCCTCAGTGCGGCCCTGCTCAAGTGCACAGAGCATGCGGGCAAGGAGCATTTGCAATTCAAGCAGGTCTGCAGCGAGGGCGACGAGCTGCCTGTGCGGGGGGCGGTGGTTGATGGCCAGCGGGATGTTAGCTGCCTGCGACGCATTGCCTCCAATTTTGAGCTGGGCAAAGTGCCCGCACAGCGCCTGCAGCCGTCGATGCAGCACAGAGCACATCAACGATTGCTTGGCCACGGTGTGGACACTGTGCCCGCTCAACTGGAGCAGGAGGAGTGCCAGTCGGCCAAACAGGATAAACTGGATGCTGATAGCAGCTCTAATTCGGATTTACCCAACGTCCTGCAGCTGGCCATACCCGACGTCACCGATGTGGAGCAGGAGCCGCAGCTCGATCAGTCCTTGAGTGCACGCACTCAGGCCTCCTGCCGCTCGCAGAAGTCCAAGTGCGAGGAGCCGCCGCCCGCCACCGAAACGCAGCAAACAACGCAAATGCCACAGAATGCGAGCCACTGCCAGGGCCAGGACCAGGTGCTCCTAACAGAATCGCAGCGCATCTCGCTGCTCGAGGCGGCCCAGTCGCGCCAAAAGGAGCTCATCTGGGAGTACAATCGTCTGCCCTTGTCCATGGGAACGCTGCGCGTGCGCAACCTGAAACTCCAGCTGGAGCAACAGCTGGATCTGATCGACAGCGACCTGAAAATGCTGAATCTGCCACAAGTATACATTAGACGTGACCACTTACAGCAAATCTCAAGTATCTCGTGTTGAACATTTTATTATCGTATGTCTCTGTCCATGCTATGTCACAAATTATTTTAAAAACTTAACAATGTGTACGCTGTTATTAAATGCATTTCGATGATAAATCTGCGCTATATTTTATTTGATTTTATTCGTTGAAATCTGTATTCTGTTCGAGGATTTTCAAACTTTGGTTTTTAAATCATTGGCAGTTATAGGGACTAATCGACTCTAATATCCTATACAAATCGATAGGCAGACAATATAAAAATCGATCAAATTCTGTAATCCATGGCAGTTACAGAGTTAAATAAGTTTTCATTTGATCGACTATAAATTTTATCCGAACTATGTTTTTAAATTACGTCTCGTACGTCTTCAAACCCAGGTTTAAAAATTTTGCATATAGTTTTCGTTATAATTTTGATACAGATTCTAAACTTTATCAATTCATTCAAATTGCATTTCGCCTGCGAATATATGCAATAGATTAGAGAGCTTGCTTAGCCAAATCGATAGTTAAATATAAATAAAGGCTGAATAGAAATGTTTTTTATTATTTTTTTTTTCTCAAATTTTATGTTCTCAAATTTTATGTCTTGCAAGAAAATATTGAATTTATTTTATTTAGAATTATAGAGTATATTTCAAAAAGTCAAAGTTCAGGGCATCTACTAGTAGGCACCTCAGCCTGTAGTTTTCGGTTTTTGATGTATCAATAGTAGGCTTTGTAATTCATCTTGGGCTATATGCTCACAACACAAAATATTTTCGTCAGTTTTATTATATCTTCATACGAACTTGTTTCTATTTTCAAATTTCATAAATTCAGTTGCGTTATTTACAATTCGATGCATTTCAAACAAATTGAAATAGAAAACTATCGTTGCAACCGATAGTCACTACAAGAATCAATATCAGAATCATCATTTTCCATAGTGCGTGTACACACTGTCCATTCCAGGGCTGCGTTATACAGACGCCGCCGACCATTTTTTGATACCACCATTTTTCGAATTGCTTTGGATGCCAGCAGCAGATAGTTGCAGCAGCTAGTTTTTTAATTAATTTATTGTATTAGTGTATAACTGTGAAATTTCTTAGTGCAACGCATATTCGACTATTCAAGCATTCAAACAAGTACGATTGCATACAAATTTTCATTGAGAGAATATTTAAGGTAAGTGAAAGAATAACCGAAATAACAATACAGTGCATTTTATAATGTATATGTGTTATTCTTCTCCTATAATTGCAATTGCAGCACCTGATTGCGTCGAACCATGTCGGACTCAGTGACTGTTGCTCTGCGCGTGCGCCCGCTGGTGAAATCGGAGCTCGATCGTGGCTGCCGCATCGCCGTGCAACGCGTCGCTGATGGAGTGCCACAAGTGACAGTGAACCGCACCGACTCCTTTACATATAACTACGTGTTCGACAGCCGTGACTCGCAGCAGGACGTGTATGAGTCCTGTGTGCGCAGCAAGCTAAAGAAGTTGCTCCAGGGCTTCAATGTGACGATCCTCGCATACGGCCAGACAGGCTCTGGCAAGACCTACACGATGGGAACTGCATTCAATGGGGTCATGGACGAGCATGTCGGCGTCATACCTCGTGCCGTGCACGAGATCTTTGAAGAGACGGCCGCCATGCATAATGACTTCCATTTCAAAATAACATGCTCCTTTGTGGAGCTGTATCAAGAGCAGTTCTACGACCTGTTTTCGCCCAACAAGCGAGAGGACAGTACTGTGGATATACGCGAGGACAAGAACCGCATTGTTATGCCTGGAGTGACCGAGGTGGAGGTGACGCAAGCCAAGCATGTCACCGATGAACTAATGCGTGGCTCATCCGGCCGTGCTGTGGCCGCCACGGCAATGAACGAGACCTCATCCCGATCGCACGCGATCTTTACCATAACTGTAGTCGCCACCAAGAAGATTGGGCAGTAAGTAGTGCCTCCCTGTCGCCATCCTAAATAGTTTCTAACATATATACCACTTGATTACGCAGGAAGTCGGTGACGACGTCTAAATTCAATTTTGTCGACCTTGCGGGCTCTGAGCGCTGCTCCAAGACACTAGCTAGCGGGGATCGATTCAAGGAAGGCGTCAACATTAACAAGGGCCTCCTGGCGCTGGGCAATGTGATAAATGTGCTGGGCTGTAAGTGAAATTTGAAATCATGTATTTATATATTGCCTACTATTAACCCCTTTGCTCTTTCAATCCTTGTAGCTGGCCAAACATCAAGCTATGTGCCTTACCGGCAGTCGAAGCTGACACGCCTGCTGCAGGACTCGCTGGGCGGCAACTCGATTACCTTGATGATTGCCTGTGTTAGTCCCGCGGACTACAACGTGGCCGAGACGGTTAGCACATTGAGATACGCAGATCGTGCACTGCAGATCAAGAATAAGCCTGTCGTGAATGTGGATCCGCATGCGGCTGAGGTAATGATGCTCAAGGACATCATACAGAAACTTCGCGTCGAGCTACTCGCGTGTGGCGGTGGCAGCGGCAATGTGGGAAATGGAGAAGCCATTGGGCTCAGTCTCAGCTCCTCGGAGGGATTGACTGCGCAAGAGGGGCGAAGGTACAAAGAGCAGCTAGAGAAGCTGCAGGAGGACTATGCGCGCAGTGAGAGGATGAACCGCAAGCTGCAGCAGGAACTGCACCAAGCGCTGATCGACCTGGCCGAGAATGAGATCCGTGCTCACATCGCCGAAGTCACTCATGATAAGCTAAAGGTGCACCTCGTTGAGCTGAAGACAAAGCTGACCGAAGCGGCAATACCCAAGGCAGAGGAAAATGGCCCCGAACAGGACCAGCCGACAGACCAATCTCAGCTGCTGGACAAGCAGTGGCGCGAGAGGATGCGAGATATCACGCAGCTGGTTTCGTGCGTGGACGAAGAGCTGCAGCAGACGGAAACCGCATTGCAGACACATCGCAAGGAATGCCTGAACAATGACGAATCCAGCTCCGTCAGCGCAGAATCGCACGAGCTTTTGGATTCGCGCGCAGAAGAACACACGATGAAGCAGCTGTGTCTCAAGGGCGAACTGCGCGACATCGATCGCCAATTGACCCTGAAGCAGGAGCTGCACGAGCGTGTTGCGCGCAACTTTAGCAAACTCGAAGACGATGGCATTGACGAGAAGTTTAAGCAGTGCGAGCTGAAGATCAAGCAGCTGGAATCGGAGCGAACTGAGTTGCTCGATCAGCTGCG